TTTCACAGAATACAAGGCATTTTACTTTGTAATGGAGTTCAGCTTTAACGTGTATATCGAGCCAAAACTGTTTTGCTTTTTTCCGTTTTCGATTCTGTTAGCCTAGCCTCTATTAGAGAGATTTCCACTTTAGTCTCCTATTTGACAATGGTTTCTCCAGACAGGAAGTGAGAGTAAATCTGAAAGAGTAACAGAGATATAACAAACTTTTTTTTTTTTTTTCAAAAGGCTAGAGCCCCCACCCGCTTCTTACTTTCTCTTTCTCTTCCTGTATGATAAAAATACTGTCATCGGAACTGTAAGTTGGGGGAAATTTTCTGCAGCCAGGATAGGTTCTACTCCTTCCTGACTCTATTCAAAATAAAAGCTTTGGCTGATTATACATTTTAACATATGCTCCTTGTCACTTTTACAGCCTCTATACCACTATGGACAAGGAGATTGGATGCTTCCCCCAACCTTCTACAGCTCTGCTGACATGATGCTGTATGATCATACAACATGTTTCTTTTGCTTAAGAGGTCTTCAGTTAAACGTTTTTGCAATAGAAGTAAAGTGACATTTCTGGGTAGATTTGTTGTCTCTGCAACTGTCTGAGAGGGGATTTCCCTCACTTTGGAGAAGTTTCCCCTAATTTATTTTTACGTTTCTGTGGAACGGGACGTGAAGGGAAATCTCTCCTATAGGTCACAGAGGTCACAAAACAAAAGTTGGCTTTATATATGCCGGTACTTAATTATTTGTAAGTATGAATGGGTTTTCTGGTAAAGAACAGCGATATGCCATAACCACAGCAAGAAATGACTTGGCATGTAAAAACAGTTATCTGGCTTTTACTGGTTGCTGTTTCCAAATGTACCGTACTGCTTATTAAAGTGTCAAGGCTTTATTCTTCTTAGTGTAACACAAGATTGTTCCGATGACCATGTGGGAAGGGGGGGACTTGTCCAGTTGACACAAGTTTAGGAAAATATAGAAGCAAGCTGCAACATTGTACACTAATCCATTACCTTGAATCAGAAATCCACTTTCATAATTTTCCCCAAACTTCTAAAAGCTGATCTCAGATGGTTTGGCATTTCTCTCGAGTTATTGAGTCCAGCTTTGCTGCTCTGCTGGCCTGAAATAGTCATCCTCTGTAACTGGATAATAAATCACATCTGCTACCCGTGATATTGTTTTTCATATTGAGGTCACCACCATTGTTGTAATTCCAGACCATCTTGACATTAGCTGGGTATTTCATTTTTATCATTTACAAGCCGAGCGCTTTGAATTATTTCCTTCTGAAAGAGATTTAATGTTTGATACTTTAAATGTGACTTACAGCTGAGGCCAAATGCAGGAACACATGGAGCTTTGTTTTTATGGTTTCTAAGAGATGTTTGACAAAAGCAATCCCAAATATATTGCAACACAAAGCAGCACATTTTGTTTTTGACAGATCGGACGTAATCACCACATACTCTCTAATGACCTAACCATTCAAGTGTATGTAAAGCAAAAATAAAATTAGTTTTAAATAGAGATTTTAACCCTTTCCTACTCTGAGTGTTTTTGCTGCCTCTGGTCCCCTGGGGAGATTTCCCAATAATTCCTGTCCTGGAAATGCAGCAGAAAAGGAGAGGAAATCTCTTCAAAATGAACTAAATGTTCTTTTTAGAAAGTTGTCACAGAAACAAGTGTTCCCATTAAAGGATTTGTTTTTCACCTTCTGCTCTGATGACTCAAATGTTTTTTTTTTTTCCCTTTAACATTCTGTCTCAGCGACATTAATCACCAGGACTAATAGAGTGATTTATCTCACCATCGGGGACAAAGACCGCAATAAAAGGTTGACAAAGGGTCTAAACCAGCTATTAACCAGGGTTCCATGGAATCCTATGGTTCATCCAGAAGTGTCTAAGGGTTTCGTGAGCTGTGGCTTTCTGACCTCTTGTCTGATGGTGTTTGCATATTTCCAGGGTCAACACCATTTGGCAGAGCCAGTGGCATGGCACCAATGTTCTTTTTATCTACCTGGTATTCTGGCCACCACTGTAGGGGGTATTCTAACTACCAAAAAAAAAAAATTCCCACTCAGTCCAAATGAATGGGTTTTAGCAGGTTTTTCCCAAGACATGAAAATTATTTGAAGGGTTCCTCTGGGGTAAAACATTCCCCACTTAAAACTAAGAAAAAATTGCCTTAACATACATTTAACAAAATTAAAGCTATAAAATAGACGTGAACTTAAAAGTACATGTTTACCAATAAATGGAATCTGTCACGAAGTAACAAAAACCTGTCAGAAGCCTATGCTGGAAAAAGCCTTTCCCTGCCTAACACAAAACATATGCAATCCAAGAAAATGACATCAGAAATGAAAGAGGTATATACTAATGGTCTCCAAAGGTATCCCTTTTGTGGGCACATGGAGGTAAGCCAACGCTTTTCAGGGGTTGCAAGGCTCAAAGCTGAAAAAGAGAGAAAACATCAAGCTGGAACAGGAGCTATATAGAATCTACATTATGTGTTTGCATAGCTAATGTGTCAATGCTAATTACAATGCTGGGCAGATGTGATCAGATTTGTTGTCAGCCTCAGGCTTGACTATTGATCTACATGTTGTTACCAGTCACTGGGGAAGTTGAACCTTTGAAGAAAAAAAATTAGAAAGCCAAAACTGGAAAAAGAACAGAATAAATAGGATCCAGGGTGGGAACTGACTGCCATACTGAATGAAATGTATTCAGCTTAAATGTCTTCTCTTTCCTCTCAATCTAGAGACAAACCTCAGATGTAGGTGAGTTATAATTACACTAACTGGACCTCCGTATCTTGTATTCCTTGGGGTGTCTATGAAGTCACTGCGGTGCTTATTACATACAATTTGCAAAGTATTTAATTTGTCCCCAAAACAATAAAGATATGTGTTTCCAACGTTATATGTTTGTGATTGTACCTGTTAAATGGGTATTGCAGAATAGGGAAAAATAAGTACTACGCCAAATGGGAAAATGCCGATTTGCTGTGTTGCTGATAGCAATCTTCACAGTTACTTATAGAGCAATAATACTGCAGTCCTCATAGCTCTTCATATAGAGCAATACTACCGTAGTCTTCACAGTTCTTCGTATAGAGTAATAATACCATAGTCTTCACCATTCTTATTGAGTAATAATACTGTAGTCTCCACAGTTCTTATAGAGTAATAATACTGTAGTCTTCACAGTTCTTATTGAGTAATAATACCGTAGTCTTCACAGTTCTTATTGAGTAATAATACCGTAGTCTTCACCGTTCTTATTGAGTAATAATACCGTAGTCTTTACAGGTATGTATAGAGCTATAACACTGACTCATTGCTTGTGTCTGAGAGATAACCTTATGCTTCAACTAAACTCACTGTAAAGAAGGTAGAAGGTATTGCTGCTCTTCTACAGCTATATGGCACTTTTATTTAGGTTTTCTAGAGAAGACTAGATATATCTAGAGGTAAAGTAGAACCACTGTAATGCTGAACTCCGGGATAAGCAAATATTGTCTAAATACAAGGACCATGTGTATTCTTACTTGAATCTTGATGTGCTTTGTGTATTTCTTCCAGAGTTGTACAATAATAGTGTGAAACGTTGCCACTGTGCAGGAGCTTCCTGCAACAAAGACCGGTCACTGCTGCTCTCTCTTGTGCAGGGTGACTGGTCTTATATCCTCCGAAACCCCCCCCCCCCCTGTAGTTTTCTGCAGTCATCCTGTAGTGGGTGGGGTTTGCTAGGTTCCTCCCACAGCTCTGCTCTTTGCACAAACTGCAGCATGTGCATCACAGCATGTGCATCTGGGTTTCCTAAGGCAGTGGTCCCCGGGCCCACGGCCCAAGGAACATTACATTATTTCCATTTTATTTACTGTGGTGTATTTCTCTCGGATTTGTCCGACTTTCCAGGACGAGAGGTTAACCGGGAGCTGAGAGACGTCACCTAACGCCGCACCAATACCGCGCATGCGCAAAATATCGTGATTATCGGGTTGGTTTTAGGTGACGTCTGGAGCTGCGCAGCTGCAAGCGGCAGTGGCGTTGTAGCTTTGGTAAAGAGAAGGTGTGTATCGCTCTTCTCTCTGTTCACCGGTACTTTCTCATGTTTAACAGTGCTTGGTGTACGTGTATATTGTGTTTGCTCAAATCTAACCTACAAATTAGCAAAAATTAGTACAAAACAGACGTTGTTAGAAAGTTTTCTTGGGAAAAAGAAAAGGCCCAGTGAAGAGACAGAAGAAGGGCCTTCAACATCAAAGAAACATGTAACTTTTAAAAGACAATACCATGAGTCCTACTTGAAATATGGATTTAATCGGGACAGGTGATTCCAATCTAAAATATAAACAATCAACGTCCCCCCCTCAGCGGGCCACGGTAAAATTATCAAACGTTGACCGGACCGCGGCGATAAAAAGGTTGGGGAGCACTGCCCTAAGGCATTTGGCGAACCCAACGTGGATTTAAATCCTTTGGGGATATTGAGATATACATTATATTTTAGTGAAAGCTTTTGTCCATGGAGTTCAGTTTTTTTAGGACAGGTTTGTACTTTTAAATTTAGTGTAGCAATGTAACACTAACGATGAAATGTAACTAAGAAGAAACACAAATCAAACATCAATAAAAAGCTATGAGCATAAATTGCATGAAAACTTTAATACTGACATGCAGTCTTTATTACCAGTTTAATTTTTGCAAATGTGTTTACAAATGACATTTTGTTGTGATATTGTAATAAAAAGGTTCTCTCTCAGGCTCCTCCATACAGCTTTATTCTCAAACAGAGGTTACTGCAGGTCATCACATCAAATTGCACACATAAATAGACCAAACGGCATACAGCTATTTTTGGTCTGCTGATGCGTTCTACAGCAACCTTTTGTTCATCACAGATGGTGAATGTAGATGCTCTCACAAAGACTGATGGTGCTAGTTTCAAGGATGTGTTATGTTATATCATTGTATCCTCTTTTGGTTGCATCTAGTAGTAGATACATCGTACTCTGTGGAAGGGAACAACATCTACAATTTTTCTGTTATCGCGAGCAAAGTCCCATAGGAAGTTGTTGATCAGAATAGAATTGATATCGATCTTTTCTTCTCTCTTTTTTAAAAGTTCTTTGAGGCACTCACAGATCAGTTCCACTGCCCAGATTGAGCAACCTCGGATCTCCATCTCCTCACGATCTCCATTCTGAAACATCCAACCTGCAATGACCGACAAAATCAACAGCTTTAACATAAACTGTTCATGAAACAACAATAGGGCTGCCATTGCTGACCTTCTGCAAATGTTGGTTGCCTGGCTATCATGCTTAACTTATCTTGCATGTTTTTATTGTGTCACTATCCTGGAATGAGTATGCAGATAGTCAGAAGTCATTATCTACATACTTGTTCTGGGTCAGACAGCTAGCATTTTCAGAAGGAAAGCACGGCAATAAAAGCCTCAATGTTTTTCTCATGACAGATTTTCTTTAGGCACAAAAGAATATGCATAGAAGGGTCAGCAATATGGCTTACCAATATAAAAGTAAAGGAATTGTAAACAGGTTTTCCGGAAAAGGAAAAACAAACCTGCTAAACAACCGGGATACCTAGTAGGGATGCACCGATACTTTTTAGATACCAGTGCCGATACTTGGCATTTTCACAAGAACTACCAGGGTTGCAGTGGTTGCAGCTGGGACCTGGCTCTGGCACTCCACCACTGTCCTGAAATCATTAGTCTGTATTGTTTTAGAAAAACTATCACATGACAATAAACAAAAATGTATTAGTACTTGTAAGTACTTGGGCAAGTATCAATACTTGTACTTGCAAAACTGGTATCTGTGCATCACTTTATATTTATAAAAACAAAATCGTACATTAAAACAGAGATGTACAGTACAAATCCAGGAGCTCCATGTGCTCCTTACTAATGACAGCTGCCTCCTAACTACGGTACGGTACTTGGTATTGGTGCATCCCTAATACCTAGGTATAGATATGCTCTATGATTAAGTGCAAGTATGTGTGATATGTGTTAGAGTTGTTTTCTAGTTGTCGATGGCCCTCAAAACACCTGAACAATCTGAGGCCAGCGAGCAAGATACTGAAGCTTGGCCCAGTGGGAGATTCCTCCATCCACACAGTTTAGCGTAGATGGAGGAATGTGTTGCACTTTTTCCATCTGACCACAGAAAATCTGCAAATGATCTATAAGTGTATGGCCAGCTTTACACTAACAACAGAGCTATCCAATTTATTGTCTCCACCTGCTTAAATGATTTCCTGGTATCAACTCACACATTGCATGCTATTGCAGATTTATCAGCCTACAAAATGCCAGTGACCATGTGCCTTGCGAAACCTCTTGGTTCACTAACCCATAACATGCATGCAGATGAGGACTTCTGTAGTCTGTTTGTCCTGGTATGGCCACTTGTTCTGAGTCAGTTACCTGAATTGAAGCCAGACAACACATGATAGCCAGCAACTAGTATGTCTGAAGGTCAGCAAGCAGAATTGCCATATTTCATATATATGAAAATGTTTACATATATGAAATGGATTTATTTAATATGGTCAGCGCAAAAAAAAAGAAAATGTAATTGTAACAAAAAACTTCCCTTTTACACACCAACCACTAAATTACCCTAAATAACTGTCCAGCAGTATTGCATTATTTACATATAAGTATTTAAGATTGTACAAACCTTCTTTCAGCTTTTTCAGTAGGCTATCTGAATATTTAAGAACTCCAAAATGGACCAAGGTTTGGGGAACTCGATAGTCCGCAAACATTGTGATCTTCTCAATGTCATTAAAGCAACCATCACCTTTTCCTTCCAGGACCCCCCAGACATCTCCCACCAAGATCTGGGCGCGCTTGTAAATGGCAACTTTTTGACCCTGAGTATGAAAAAAGGAAAATGTTCAGTGATATCACTTAACATCAAAGATTTATCTCAAAGGTTTGAAAGATACGGTATAACAAAGAACATAACCAGAAGAAAGTAAACAGTCCATGCTGCTAAAAAGAGTCTCAAAAATTCAAAGAAACCCATTATATGGGTACAGGGTCCCTGGAAATCCAGGTGGCTACTGTGAAGAAGGACTCTTCCTACACTGCTGATCATATCTCTATATAGGGTAAGGCCAGTCAGGAAATTGTTTGAAAGTGCAAAACTAAAAATATAAGATCTGAACTACATACAGCAGACACAGTTTAAAGTGACATTAAAGTCAAAAAAAGTTTTCCCGCCCCCCAATGTTAATGTTAGCACTTACCTTAAATTATGTCTCTTAATCCGATCTTCTTTCCTGATGTTTTCATCTGTCCCTCCAGCGGTGCGGCGGCTCTCCGATCCAGCGCTGACTCCTCTCTGCTTGCTGGCACTTCTGATCCCACGGTGTCTGCAGGCGGGTGCACGCGTCCATAGACCTACCTTGCGTCTCTGCTCGTCTCCCAGCCGAAAATCCGAACTGCCCATGCGCCTGCCCCAAGACGCTTTGCGGCCGCCCGAGCGGTTTCGGATTCTCGGGCGGGAGCGTGCGGCGATAATGAGGTAAGTTTCAACCGCTGTTAAAGTGTTTTTTTTTACTTTTTGCATATATCTACTGCATGCTAGCTAGGCAAAAAAAATGGAGGGTTTAGAAACCCTTTAACTGCTCAAGGTATAAGTTCTTTATGTAGGCATAGCAGTGGTGTATAAGACTTTTTTCTGGTAATCTGGTTCCAGGCACATCATCTTACCTTTGCTATTGGCTGTGTCTACCTGCCCATACTTGCAGGGCATGTTATACTGACAACGTTGTCCTTTAGCACTCAACAGGACCAGCTCTCCTGGTCTACTCTACCATCCCCCAGTTCTGTGGTCACTGTTCCTGGCACCTAGCAAGCGGTTCTCTGACTTGTTTCATTTGTTGTTCCAACCAAATTCATCAATAAATTTTTCATGTATGTACTGTATATAGATACTATTTTACCTACCAAAGATTTGGGATTTACAACAGCCAGTCATACAGTCCAGCCATCCCTGCAACACAACACAGCTAGGTCAAAGGCCTCCATTGCAGCTACAGCATTACAGTAGGTCCCGGACAAAACCCCAACTTGCTAACTGGACAGTGAAGTATAAACCGCACAATGATGAGGTAATCCCTTTGCTGGCTCTGCTCTCTCCTCTTGTTATCATGTTCACTACTAGACATGATTAGTTTCATTACGAATCTGAATTCAAATGAATTTGCGTTATTCAGAGATTCATATGTATCCGAATTTCCGAATAACAATAGTAACTAATTTCAAGGAATCTGAAAAAAAATTTTACGAAAACAACAAATGAATTTGGGTTCGTTCAGATGTCATAATGCGATAGTTTGGGCCTTTCGTTAACCACTTCAAGACCAGGTGTTTAGACCCCCTTCCTGGCCAATGCCCCGACGCATGTTTGCGTCCGTGTATGTATGGGGGGGACTTAAAAAAATGTTTTTGTTTTTTTATTCTTTTTTGTGTAACTTTTTGGGGGGGAACTTACATTTTTTTCCCTTTTTTTTTTTTTTTTTTACTAAACTTTATTGCTATCACATACTGGGGTAATAAAAACCCCTCTATGTGATAGCAAAATATGTGACAGGTCCTCTTTATGGAGACATCAGGGGTCTCAAAGACCCCTAATGTCACCTAGGACATTTTACTACGGCCGGCCTGGAAGTGGTTAAAGGTTGAACAGCTTGTTAATAATAAAGCACTATGACAAATAGAAATATATTAAAATAAAAAAGTGACTTAGAACAGTGAAAAAACATTAAAGTAAAGTTAGATGATCAGCTTGACTGTCAAGCAACTAACATTTATGGGAAGGGATCAGCAACAACAATTTCAGTATTCTCTTGGAACAGGTTATCCTTCAAAAACCCATTCAGTTTTAGGCCGGTTTACACCTAAGCTGTTAAAGAACAACAAAGGCAGACAGTGAAAGCATTTCCCTTTAAAGGAGAACTGAGGGGAGTGATTTACACTCATCCTCATAGTTAGAGCCGACGTGTGACATTGAAATTGTCACACGTTGGCTCTATAGATCATGAAGTACCGTCACTCGCTTCCCGATCATCTACCTGCAGAGAGCGGTGACTGTCAGCGCTGACTGTAGGAGCGGACGGGGGAGGGGGCAGGCACAGCTGGCTCTGCCTCTAGATAGTCAGAGCCCACTGTAAATCAGCCAGCTGGGAGGATCTCGACAGTATTGCCGGGATCCAGCCTGGCTGCAGGGCTCTCAGTAAATAGTGAGCTATAGCTCCCTATATACTGAGATTTGGGTCACGGGAGGATGTTAGTATATGTATGTAATGACACTTTGCCAAGCTTTGGCCTGTAGTGGTACCACTGGCAATTCAGTAGCATTGTTACACCCAATTTCAGAATGCATATAGGGCAAAGAAAACTTTGATATTTTGATAACACAAAGCTTCAGCAGAACAGCCACAGTCATTTACTCCATCTCCTAGATATTCTCCTACAGATCAGCCCATCTGATCTTTCTTGCAGAGAGGAAAGCTGAATTCTGGTGCCATGTAAACACAGCAGCCCTACTGGTAATTAATCCTTTCTCCAAGGTGAATAAGGTGAAACTGGCACTGCTTGTACTGTAGGTACCACCCACTATTGATCAAACTGAATCAACTAGGCAAGGGGAAGGTAGTGCCTGTAGGACACACCATACCACTGGAACCACTCTTCTTCAACTCAAGCATTTGTAAGCCACAAGGTGGACAACGGCGGCCCAATAGAGAGTTTTGATCAATTGTGAGCCCAACCGCATAGAACTTTTCCCCATGCAAGGTCCTATTCCTGCTTAATAGTACAATTACTGTTCAGTTTTCTGGCTACTACATGGAGTAAGAATAATGCACAAGTTTACTTTTTACTCTTAACATTAACAGACCTCTAACCTGAAAGACACCTTCATCCTTGTAGGAAGGGAAGTTCTCCACCACTAACTGCATCAGTTTTACCGCACTATTCTTGCTCAGCTTCACACAGTTCAGGAAGGATCCTCCAAAGTCCTTCATGAGAATTTTCCCTGTCTGATGAAGGATCTCCAGACGCGTTTCAATCATTGTAATGGGTATATCAGTGTCAGAACGGAAAACATGTCGCAACTGCTCCAAGGTTATGTCGGAATAATACGATGGAGTGGTGATGGGAATGCCTGTAAAAAAAAGAAAGAAACTGTTGTTGAAACCCGTCACACACTGATAATAATCTGCTACTATTAGGGTATGATCATTGACCACATCTGGTGATCATAGCTTCTGCCCTCTCTGCCTGTAGCAGCCACTGTTTCTAAATCTTTATTTGTTTCTTTATACTTAGGGGCAGTTAGGATATATGTGCCTGATTATTATTATTATACAGGATTTATATAGCGCCAACAGTTTGCGCAGCGCTTTACAATATATGGAAGACATTACAATCACAGAGCAATTCAAGACAAGATGGTAAGACAAGACTGTGGTGGCTTACAATCTAAAAGGGAGGGAGAAGTGATTAAGATCAGTCTCACAGTTCCCAATCTAAGCAACAGACATGTGAGTAATAGAAGAAGTCAGAACGTAGTTACTATATACTCCAGTAGCTAAGGCATTGAAACCCAATTAAAAGGCAGATGGGACATCAGGGACAAGCTAGAGTTAAACTCATCAGGATGTAAAATCGGAAACAGGGTTCAGGCTAAGGTTGGAACAGCTGGGCAAAGAGCCAAGATAGGCAAGGTTAGAACTGGGGAAATAGATAAATACACCAATCAGCCAGCAAGTTGGGCATTGTAATGAGAGCCAGGAATTAGAGTGGCATGAGTCAATCAAGAGATGACATTGTGGGTACAATGTGCTGCAGTGAAACAACCGCACATAGAAGCAAGCACCTAACAATGGACAGATGAGTGTGTCACGGCTTCTCTATGGGCATATATTTTTACAATACTTAAGTTTTACTCACTGTTTGTAAACCAATCATGCAATACCTTACTCCAGCTAGGACAGGTAAATTCTCTTCAGACAACTCTGCAGAGAATTCTGCTTGTTGGTGTTAAATTTTCTGGACTTGTCCTATAATTGTGGCATACTGGAGAAACTTTAATTCAGATTTCACATATAAACATGTAATCACACCGCTACACAAACTTATATTTTAGGTTTAGTGGAGAGCCTTCCCACTACCTCAGCAGCATTCTTCTCTTTCATGCAAGGAAAGCAATCATACTCAAGTGGAAATGCTCTTATCCTCAAACTTATCTTACCTATAAAAAAAAACCTCCACTTCTACAAAGCTATATATGCCGACAGGAGATCATTCAATGGATTTGAGAAAGTGTGGCACAGCTAGCTCCACTCTATACATGCCAATACGCAGAGGGTGGGAGGCAGAGAAGGCCCGGACAGAGGTGAAGGGCCGTCCTTTTCTGAATGAATCCCACACTCACTGGATTAGGCCAGCCAGCACCAAAGAAAGGCAAACATTTTGAGGGACCCCTCAGAAAACCAGAAGGTATACTGGTTAAGAAAGGCTGTTGTAGGTGTATTTGAGGGCTAAAGGCTGCCCCCATTTACTAGGGGCTAGGATAACTACAATGTCAGACTTTATGGCAGATTTTTAACAGCAAAGTGTAGAAATATATGCAGAATGAACAACCATAAAATAAGTATAAAATATGAAAAAGGATATCAATAGCATATTGTAACACCTACATTGGTCCACAGCCTGGGGAAGCTAAACAAACTGATTGTGCTTTCCTAAGTTTTCAGCAGGAACTGCTACAACCAGGGCCGGCCTTAGGCCTTTAGGCGCCCTGTGCGAGAAAGCTTTACAGCGCCCCTCAGTGACCACACCTCTCAGTGGCCACACCCTTTAGTGGCCACACCCCCAGTAACCACACCCATTTATCACCCATATTTTCGGTAAAATATAAAAAGACGGGGTCACGTCGGGTAAATAGACACCAAACATGTCATGCTTTAAAATTGCGCGCACCCGCAAAATCGCAAAAAATTACCATGCCCAAAATTGACCATATGTGACGCTTTAAAAGCTTTTACCGCTCATCAGTTTAGTGTTATCAGTTTAGTGTTATCAGTGATTGATAGCCCTACAATTATTGCTCTCATACCGACGTTCGCGGCGATATGTAACGTGCGGCGTAATGGGCGAAATCGTCGTTTTCACGCGTACGCGCCACCCGACGCCTGTTTGCATGCGTGTATGTATGGGGGGGACTTTTAAAAAAAATGTAATTCTTTTTTATTTGTAACTTTACATTTTTGGGGGGGAAACTTTATTGCTATCACATAGGGGGGTTAGAAAACCCCCTTATGTGATAGCAAAATATGTGACAGGTCCTCTTTATGGAGACATCAGGGGTCTCCAAGACCCCTAATGTCACCTAGGACCCCCCTGAAGAAGCTGA